TCTACTGTCATGTACATCTAAATAGAACAACAACAACAAAAACTTATGGATAAAGAGGAAAGCAATATAAAGTAGAAAGTATTTAGAATGAATGATAATATAATACAGAATACAACTTGTTGGTATGCAGTTGCACCTATAAAAATATGGAGCTTTAAATAATTATATTAGGAAAAAAGCTGTGTCTACCTTATAAATTTTGACAACAGAAAAGCAAGATGTATACTTAACGAACATTCACATATGCAATGATTTATTTCTAGCTCTCTATTCTACTCCACTGGCCTGTCTTGAATATCCTAACTTCATATTAACTCTTGCAATTTATTTAAGGGTAGCTGGATTCCATTTCTTGTTCATCTTCACAAGTGTGTTGATAATTCTTTGTACTTCCATCTAAATTTTAGAATCAGCTTGTTATTATACTAGTTTTCCAGCCTTCCATACCTCTCTCCCCCCAAATCCCTCCTGAAATTGATTAGAACTACAGTGAATCTAAGATCAATTAGGGAAGAACTGCCTTCTTTTCATATAGCAGCTTTCTTCATTTACTTTAATTTTCTGTCTCTATAAAGGTTTTGTACATCTTTTGTTAGTTATTCTTATTTAGTGCTATTACAAACACCATCTTTAAAATTCTTTCATTTTCTGACTACTGTTAATACAACTGAGTTTTAATTATTTTATTTTTTTGTAGTGCTGGGGATTGAACCCATGGCCTTGTGCAAGGCAAGCACTCTACCAACTGGGCTATCTCCCCAGCCTCTACAACTGAGTTCTTAGATGTTGATTTTTGTATTGAGTAACCCTGTTAAATTTTACATCCACAATGATGACCATATGATTTTTCTCTTTTAATCTGAATTTCTGCTATTAAACCAACTTCACATTCCTGGTATAAATCAGTCTGGGAATGATATTATCTTGTACATGCACTGCTAGATTCTGTTTCTTAACATTTTGCTTAGGATTCTTACATTTATATCCATGAAGAAGACTAGCTGGTGATCTTCCAGTTTTACAGTCTGTATTGAATTTTGTTATCGAAATTAACTCAGTTCATTATCATTTGAAGAGTCAAGACTGGAACTCTTTGTTCTATCATTGTGGGACAAAACTTAGCTATAAGACCATTTGGTACCAGGGGTAGTGGAGCACACCTGTAATTCCAGCTACCTGGGAGGCTAGGCAGGAGGAAGGCAAATATGAGGCCAGCCTGGGCGACTCAATCTGATCCTCAAAGGAAAAAAAAAAAAAATTTTTTTTAACGGTGAGGGGTGTAACTCAGTGGAACTGAGTGCCCCTAATCCCAAGTACCACGGGGGAGGGGGGGGTGTAACAATATAAAAAACATCTGGTTTTGATGAGTTCTTTGAAGAAGAGGGGAGAGTTTTGTTTATTGTTTATTTATTAAAGGATGATTTATACTTTCTACTTTTCCTTTAGTTTTGAAAAGTTGTATTTTCCTTGCTTTTATTAACTTCATTACGTATCTAAACTTGTCATTCTCTTTGCATTCCTACTATTATTTATCTCTAACTTTTGCTTTTATTCTTTTTCAGTTTTGGCAGAAGTTAACAATTTAGTTAGACCTTTTAAAAGAACAACTTTTTTTCTTTTTTGATCCTCTATGTTTGTATAGTATAATGGTCAAGACTCCAAATTGGCCATGGTGGCTCATCCCTATAATCCCAGCAGCTCCAGAGACTGATGCTGGAGGATCACAAGTTTGAGACTGGCCTCAGCAACTTAGCAAACCTTGTCTCAAAATAAAAAGAGCTGGGGCTGGGTGCAGTGGCACATGCTTATAATCCCAGCAGCTTGGAGGCTGAGGCAGGAGGGTTGCAAATTCAAAGCCAACCTCAGCAAAGGCAAGGTGCTAAGAACTCAGTGAGACCCTGTCTCTAAATAAAATACAAATACAAAATAAGGCTGGGGATGTGGCTCAGTGGTTGAATGCTCCTGAGTTCAATCTTCAATACCTACCCTCAAATTAAAAAAAAGAAAAGAAGAAGGGCTGGGATGTAGCCATATCCCCAAAAACACAAGGAAAGAAAAAAAAAAAAAGAATATTGGAAAACAGATTCTGATCTCAGACTACCTGGGTTCAAATTCCAACTCTTGTACTTACCAGTTATATGAACCTGGGCAAAGTACATGACACTCTCTATTTAAATGTCTTCACTTTTAGAAGAATGATTACAACACTTTTTACCTCAAAGAGTTGTTCTGCATGTTGAGTTGTTAATAAATATAAGATATTTAAAACACTATACAACTCATAGTTAATTATATGAATATTTGCTACTATTAGTACTAATAGTTCTATTGCTAAAAAGTCAATACATTGACAGATATTTAGTTAAGATGGCACAATAAAACAGTTAAGTACATGGATCTTGTTGGTGTGTTATATACTTCATAATGTAGCTGCTGTTGTTACTAGCAAATTTACTTACCCAGCAAATAGGCTAAAAATGTTTTAATTTATATGACAAAGGAAGAATTAGATACCAATAGACAAAGATCTCTAACTAAAAAGAAAAAAGAAAAACAAAGCTGGGGTTGTAGCTCAGTGGTAGAGTGCTTTCCTAGCTCCTGAGGCACTGGGTTCAATCCCCAGCACCACATTAAAACAAACAAAAACTAAACAAAATAGAAATGTATTACTTTTCATCCAACTGAAAAAGACAGAAAGGCAAATGGATAATATGTATCAAAAATTTTAATATGCATATTCACCACTGCAATAATTTGACTAGAAATTTAGCCTTAGGAAGAAATGAGACAAGCAAGCAAAAAATGTATATGCAAGATTTTCACTGTTAGCACTGTTACAAAAAAAAAAAAAGAAAGAAAGAAAGAAAAGAAAAGAAACAAATGTCTGTCCACAGGTCACCATTAAATAACATGAAATAAAATTATTCATTAAAGCCAGGCACAGAGGCACACACTTGTAATCCCAGTGACTTGGGAGGCTGAGGTAGAAGGATAACAACTTTGAGGTCAGCCTTAGAAACCCAATGAGATCCTAAGCAATGTAGTGAGACCCTGTTTCTAAATAAAATACAAAAGAGGGCTAAGGATTAGCCCTTGAGTTCAATCCCAGGTACCCAAAAAAAAAAAAAAGGAAAGTCTGACTTTTTACTTATATTTAATGCCATATATTATTCACTAAAACTGAAATAAAAAGGGGCTAAGAGGTCAAGTCAAACTTGGGTCTAGGAACATCTGATTTTTCTCCTTCATACAAACTCCTCAATTTATATATATTTATATAATAGTTCAATCTGATGAAAAATGAGGGAGATCTGATGTTATAGTTTATAGAAACTATAAACAATTATCAGAATAAAAAGGAGGTTCTTAGGTATTTATAAGTGCTACTAAACACTGAATTTTCTAGACTCTAACCATGGCTTTGCAGACAAGGGTCAATTAACTTTACCTACCTGGATCTCGTTTTCCCTGGTTATGAAATTAAGATGTTTATCAGGATAATTTCTAAATTCCTTCTAAATTTAACATTCAAATAACTAGGCACAGTGAAGGGCAGATATACCAGATGACTGAGATTTCTAGATTAGAATATTAAACTGAAAAAAAAAAAAAAAGGAAAGAAAAGAAAAAAGCCATAAGCAGTGATACATGCTTAGAATCCCAGCAATTTGGGAGACTGAGGCAGGAAGATTAAAGTTCAAAGCCTGCCTCAGCAACTTGGCAAAACCATCTCAAAATAAAAATAAAAAGGGTTGGGGATATGGCTCAGTGGTTAAGCACTCCTGGGTTCAATCCCTAGTACCAAAAAATTTTTAAAAAATCAATCAATCAATAAAAAGAATCCTAAACCAGCCTTAGAAGAAAGGAATTAAGTTCGGTTCTATATAAACTGTAGAGATATCTCTAAATCTAATAATTAGATACAAATTTAATTCTGGCCTTTAGAAGAGAAAACTGGGAGTCACTAGAATCCTGGTGAAATATGAAACCACTGATGAGATTACTGAAAAAACACAGGAAAAACAAAAGAGTGAACACTAAAGTTTAAAAGGTGAATGGTAGAAGAAAATGATGGATTCAAGGCAAACATGAACAAAGTAGAATTATAAACAAATCAAGGAAAAAAATAATTTCTAAAGCTAATCTTATGCTATAATGCAGTTTAATATTGGAAAAGACAAAAGAAATCAATTGATTTAGATATAAGCTAGGCAATTATTACCAACAGATCAAATCCCACATGTTTACTGAAACTACCTGTTTGAATGGTACTAATTGTAACTTTCCTCTGGTAGGGAATTCAGATGTTGTGTAAGATAACTTGACTCTATCATTCACACCTTCACAAAAGTAAAATAAAGAAAAACCTCATCATACCTTTGTTTCAAAATGATCTGGGACTTGATCTCAAAACTGAGTCCAAACAACTTAGTGTGACATTCATCTTTCATATTCTATCTTTCCACCCACTCTCCTACATTCCTCACCCACAGAGAATATGCCTTCTCCCCCAAGCTGCAAGAAACATATACTATCGCCCTTACGTACCTTCTCTACCTGCAGAAAACCTATTCTTTTTTTAAAAAGCACATTTTAAAAGCAAACTTTTAAAAAGAACACATAAAATAAACACAAAACAAATATCAGGGTATAAGATTTCAACCCAATGCTATCATTTACATTAATGCAAATGGTCTATCCTTTGATTATAAGGCAGATTATCATATTCAATAAATAACAATATATACTGATACAGTTATAAAAACACTACAGAAACTAAGAATTAAGAGAACAATCCAAGTACCTAAACAGTGAACATAATTCTGCTATATTTCTATCAATACTTAAAACTCCTAAATATCTCAAATGAAAGCAAATGATGAATTGATATAATTAACCTCAAAATGAAGCAATATGGCATTGTCTCCCTTAATTGTCCCATATTTTAAGAGTTCCATGTTAGTTCCTCCACCAAATAAAGAAATTCCATAAACACTGACCTTGCCATGGCTTCTTTCCACTTTCTGAAAACACTTATTTAGGGACAGATTATGTCGAACAGAATTCTTCCAGCCTGTAGGTGCAGTAGCAAAATATGGAAAATGGTCCAGAATCCAGCTATAAATTTCTTTGACAGGCAAACATTTATTTGGAGAGTGTTCAATAGCCATATAAATGAGAAGACTAAAAGAGTATGGGGGCTTTGAAGTTGTTGATTTTTGTTCTGGGCTCTGGTAGCAAGATGGTCCAAAGGATGGTACATCATCTCCTTCTATGTCATACAATGGACTAACCATTGGAGGACCCTCACTTCCGAGGCTGAAGTTTGTTAGAAGATTAGTACTTTCGTGAAGCCAGTTCAAGTTTGTGAGCTCATCATCTGCGGACTCACTGCCTACTAGAGTGGCCTTTGGCCTGGCAGCATCAACAGCTTCAGGCAAACTTCCCATTTTATAAATCTGACTTAGTGCCGCAACCTTTTCAGCTCCTGGGGTTTCAGCTGTCTTATCTGGAGTCATTCCAATTACTGGACCCATTTACTTTAATAGGTCTGAAACAAAGGAAAAAATGATCAGTCAATGTAATACTGACATTCTTAAACTTTGGAAAAAGCAAATACAGATTTAAATGTTCACAAATCAAAATATTTATAATTATCCCTCCTAATATTTAAGACAATACTTATATAATAAAGAGTTATTATATAAGTAACAGATTTATATTATTTGAAACAATGGTTAAGTAAATTTTTTCTTCTTGTGGTACTAGGGATTTAAGCCAGGAGCACTCTACCACTGACCTACAACCCCAACCCTTTTTTATTTTTGAGACAGGAAATCTCTAAATTGCCAAGACTGGCCTGGAACTTATGATCCTTCTGCCTCAGTAGTTTGGGATTACAGGCATGAAGCCACCCCACACACCTAAAACCATAAATAAAATAATGAAAATAAATTAAAATACTGTTTAAACGATAGTTCCAAATAAATGCTTTCATCAGATCTGAAATATTTACTATAAGAAGATTAACCATTAATTATATTTATAGCATCATACTAAAAATGATTTCTTTTTAATTGAAAAATTATAAATATATATATTTGGAAGGTACAATGTGATATGGTACATGTATATACTGTGGTAGGATTAAATCAAGCTAATCAACATATCCATCAGCTCACATTCATTGTAGTGAAAACACTTATCTACTGTTTTGGCAATTCTGAAATATATGGTACGCTATTATTATTAACCATAGTCATCATGCTGTGTGATAGATGCCTAGAACTTATTCTTCCTGTGTAACTGAAACTTTGTACCCGTTGACTAATATCTGTCCTTTCCATAACCACCTTCCCTCACACCCCCAATAGTAATTCATAACCACTATTCTGCTTTCTGAGTTCAACATTTCCTATTCACCAAATTCCTTATCACCTAAATTGAATTTACTATAAATTTATTGTCCTTTATAAACTCTAGTATTTTAAATTTTGCATTCTGCTGGGTACAATGTAATACTGGTGACTTGAGAGATTGAGACAGGAGGATTTAAAGTTCAAGGCCAGTCTTATAAACTTAGAATCTCAGCAACTTAATAAGACCTTGTCTTTAAAAATAAAAATTACTGGGGATTTAGCTCAGTGATAAAATACCCTCAGTTCAATTCCCAGTACATACATACATACATAAATGTTGCATTCTGCCATCTCAAGTGCTGACATTCCCCTAGTGGTATATACTGTATTACCACCAAGAGAGGGGGAAAAGCTGTTTCTAAACTATCCTTTTTCATTCGTTTTGTCAAATGATTTGTTTTGCTTTTAAAACACATTTAAATTAAAAATAACACCATGGGATAATAACTAAACAGAGGAAAGTGATAGAACTAATGTGCTATTTCATTTTCTTTTCTTTTTTGGTACCTGGGATTGACCTCAGGAGCATTCAACTACCGAGCCACATCCCCAGCCTATTTTTATTTTTAGATTTTATTTAGAGACAGGGTTTCACTGAGTTGCTTAGTGCCTTGATAAGCCACACGCATGCTGGCTTTGCACTTGCAATCCTCCTGCTTCAGCCTCCAGAGCTGCTGGAATTATAGGCACGTCACCATGCCTCATAAAAAGACCTTATTTCTGAATGCAGTGAAAAAAATAGGGACAAGTACCTTCAGAGTTTTATTTTGCTTGGAATACAGCTGACATGTTACTTCAAGAATTATGCAAACTGTTCAAACTGGTCGCTAATAGCTACCAGAATTCCGATGGACATCTAAATTAGCAATACCATCAGCTAAGATTTTTTTTTTAATTTTTTATTGTTGGTTGTTCAAAACATTACAAATTTCTTGACATATCAAATTCCACACTTTGATTCAAGTGGGTTATGAACTCCCACCTTCACCCCATACACAGATTGCAGAATCACATCAGTTGAGGCCACACATTGTGCCAAACACTCTACATACTATCGATCAATTAATCATTAATTAAACCCTAAAAAATTGATACTATTATTAATAATCATCTTTTATAGACAAAGAAAATGACTCAGAAAGGTTAAACATACTGTTTAAGGTTGTGGGGCTAGAAAATGGAAATATCAGAATTTAAACCCAGGCAGATTAAAATCTTATCAGCATTCTCTTCATATCTAGTTTCTATCTCTCTATGACTTGAAACATCAAGACACTGTAAAAAGGAAAAAAATCAAACTATAACAAATTAAGTTTTTATTTCAATCAATACACATACAAAAATCTACATAAATGTATTTCACAATAAATTTCAGAACTGACCTCATGTTCGTTGTAACTCACTGAATTATTCTTTTTACCAAAGTCTCTAATAACAACAGAGACTTAATGTGGTAAGAATTCATTGATTTCAAAGTCTTGCTTCCCTTTAAAAAAACAAAACTCTTTAATGCATCCAGAGTCCAATTAAAAATAATTAATGAATAAAATAATTATTTACTCCAGCCCTAAGAACTGGGGGTTGAACCCAGTGGTCCTCCAGCCCTTTAAAAATTTTAAGGCAGGTTGTCAATAAATTGCTGAGGCTGCCTCAAACAATCTTCCTGCCTCAGTCTCTGGGGTCACTCCCACCACCACACCCAACAAAGTATTTTTTTTAGAAATGAATTCTTAAATGGAAGGAAACCTTCTAAATGGTAACAATCCAAAACCAGAACTTCATTGTCACAAATAAGAAAATGGAAGTGAAATAAACCAGTTGCCTAAGGTTCAAAAGTTAATGAAAAATAAAGCCAAAATTATAACCCAACTGAGTTCAAGTTTTTGTCCATTAGAGTTGCACCCAATCTCTTAACCCATTAAGTCTCAATTTTTCAATTCTGAGAATATAATAAATATTCAAATATTATTTCAAAGTTAACATAAAGGTGTTTGGGGGTTTATTTGTTTTTGGCTCAGTTTAAGTGTTTGTTTTTTTTTAAAGAGAGAGAGAGAGAGAGAGAATTTTAATATTTATTTTTTAGCTTTCGGCGGACAAACATCTTTGTTTGTATGTGGTGCTGAGGATAGAAACCGGGCCACACGCATGCCAGGAGAGAGCACTACCGCTTGAGCCACATCCCTAGCCCCTCGGTTTAAGTTTTAAAGGTGGTTGCACACCTAGGACAACTGGACAAAATGGGTTAAGGAAAGTATGTTTTTAGCAATATGGAATCAAAGCACTCAAGCATGCTAGGCAAGTGCTCTACCACAGAGCTACATCCCCAGCCTTCTTAGTAACTATTGGCTCAACATTCTCATCAGAAACTAATTTAGATGGTGGCAAATATGGTATTATTCTAAATTACAAGTTTATAATAAAATTCTATTGCTTTAATAATGCAATATGATGCCAACAAATATTGTCACACAAAGTGTGGATCCACACAAATTTTAAAAATCAAGTATGAACACTGAAAGGCTAACATTCTCTTAGTATACTAAGTCTGAACTGTCATTTTATTTTCAAGAAGAAAAAGAATCATTTCTAAACTATCTTTTCTGAACACTGTAGAACACTAACTTTTAGAGCAGCAAGTCCACAAATGATAGACAAATGGCTTTCTCTTACAAATTAAGTAAATATAAACATCAAATAAATACATTAGGATTATTCAAGTTCACTAATGATCAAGAAAATGAAAAACAGAAATGTGATATTATATATAGTGAACTAAAAACAGTCTGGAATGTACTAAGCACAGATATCAGTAATATAAATAACTTCATTTTTGCAAATAATTAAAAATATACATAATGTACAATTTGGGGCACAGACCTGTGACCATTTTGGAAAAGTTAACTGACAATATTATTAAGAATCATTAAAAATTTTACATTCTTTGACTAGTAACTTTTCCAGTCACTTTGATAATATAATCCCACATAGGGAAAAAATATTCCCCTTTCCCTCTCCCCACACATTGTCCTTCCTTCCTTACCCAACCTCATTGTCCACAGAATTTTTAAAGATGATGAAAAACTATTAATAACTACAATGAGAAATGGCAAGCACACATATATTCAATCTAATATTTAGTAGCCATTAAAAATGACTGTCTAGCTGGGTGTGGTGACACACGCCTGTAATCCCAGTGGCTCCGGAGGCTGAGGAAAAAAGAATCAGGAGTTCAAAGCCAGCCTCAGGAATTTAGCCAGGCCCTAAGCAACTCAGCGAGACCCTGTCTCAAAATAAAATACAAAAAAGGGCTGGGGATGTGGCTTAGCGGTTAAGAGTTCAATCCCTGGTACCAAAAAAAAAAAAAAAAAAACCTAATGGTTTCTTATGTTACTAACTGGGTAACTCTTTTCTTTGTTGTTTTTATATCTATTCATTAGAAAACCTTTTTCTAACATGAATTAGTTCATCAGTGAATAAGGCAATAATTTTAGTATAATGCAAAAATAACATTGGTTTATTATTTTTTTTCCTCAGCCTGTTGTTTGCACTACCAAATAAAAACAGCTGAACCCCAAATAGGTTAACACCATGGAAAGCATCAAGCTGCTGAAAATACAGTGCTGTACACAATTCTCATTCAAGCCATGTTCTTCCTCTTGGCACAGCTTGGCCACATGGTCTTTCTTGGAAATGCTTAGTGAGCTTTTCTCCAAATCTTTATGCATTTTACCCTGGCCTCTTAAATGCTGTAGCTTCAACCATCCTTTCACACCTTTTTTTTTTAATCCTAAAATGACTGTAGTATTAAAATATTTAGTATTCTTACTAATGTATTTTTTCCTTAACATTCTATTACAAAGTTGCAGTGTTTTAGGTGAGCTGATCCATCAATTAGGCACAATTTCAGTATTTTTAGAATATGTAATATTGCTACAAAACAGTATATTCACAATAAAAATCAAGAAAACTTAGTTTTAGTTATTTGGAAAATTCTAGTTTTATGTGAAACCATGTCTTAAAATGAACCGAAATTTTCCACTAGCAGAGTGTTAATAATATGCACGATCAGTTTCCTTCATAAAACAAAATGTGTAAAGAACAAAAAGGAAACCTGAGCTAGTGATGTAATACT